ATTTGCGGGAGGAGGATGAAGACGAGGAGGAGGAGCAGGAGCAAGAGGAGTGTGACGAGGTTTGGGGTGTTTTTTTTGTTTTGCCATACTTATCACATCTTTCCTATGAAACACGAGATTGGGCGGTTGGGTAGCGATCCACAGAGGGTCAGCCAGGTGTTTATAATAACCACTTACTTGCAAGTTTTCAGTAGGTCGAATTTCCGCCTATCCAATCATTTCCTTCATTGTGTTAACCATTAAGAGTTATTCCAGTATTTTTATTGGTCTTCAGGTATCCTTTGTTGAGCAATAGGAGTTTGTGTTGGTTAATTTTTTTTTTCATGCTTTTCACATGTATATTTAGTTCAATAAAACACGACCAGACATTTGAAGTAGAACAACAAAACCAGCGATTTTTATAGAGTATTGAAACTAATCGGTGCGCAGTGCTGTCAGTCTAGGGTGCTACGTACTTTCCCTTTGAAATGTGTCTGCACATTGGCGCATTACGCATCTGGTCAGCGTCCCACATTTGGCGACACAGTATGACTTCAGGCGGTCTTTGCTGCACTGTTTGATTCGCCGGTAAATTGGCTCCCTCTTCTGACCAAATAGAGGCCACACTCCCTAGAAGGATTTCAGAAAATTGATTCTGCGTGAAAAGGCACTGTCTGCTCACGAAGGTGTACACCTTGACATTGTCTTTCATTCGTCAGTTGTTACGACCTATCTGGCAAGATGAGGAAACTTTTCATGGCGCTTGACTCTTGTCTGACTAACTTCCCTTCACGGGCTCGTTTCTAAATGTAATATGCGCAAATATTTGAGGTTAAGGCATCTTATCGTTTTACCAGGACATGGACCGAATTATAATGAGACTGACACTCACTTGGTTCCATCGTCAGAGTAACGTGGTGATTTTTCCGGGACTGTTTCAGCTTTGCCGCATGTCTGGTATTATATCCGTGCTCGACGCACGAACTTTGGCCTGCTTGTTCGCTGCTGACTGACAGTGGTGTAATGTATTTATGTCTATGATATGCTGGCCGTTGAGCGGCTACTGGCTGTGCTCAGGAGCTAGGCCCGAGGCACAGTAGAAGGAGTGAGTTCCGTGTGAATCGGTTAGTGTCCGTTTAACATTACGTATGCGTATGCGCGTGCTAATTTTATAAATTTAGGTACAGGGATACTACAGAGGAAACACTACGATCTCAATGGATTGCAGCCGCTATGTTGAATAACAGTAGCTGTGTGCTGAGTTGGAGCATTAATAAATACTTTAAGCAAACACGGTACTTAAATAAAGAAAGTAGCATTATAATCATTATTAATTATTCATATAAGCCGTGTATACAACGGTCTGATGATTCTGTAGTGTGCACTGCGCAGTACTGCACTCCAGCATCCTCTTAAAAGCTGCTACGGATGAAGACACAATTACGTGCTCAGGCAAAGCATTCAACACTTCGCGCACTCTGTTGAAGAAGGGGCTTTCACAAGTCGATCCTGGCGCCAGCCACACTCTGCTTTAGTGGATGACCTCGCAGTTTAATTGCAGCCGGTACTTCAAGGGAATCTCCACGCACAAAACAGCAGTCCTGACCGCGCATGTTTGTACTAGGTCGCCCCTTCAGCCGTCTGTAAGTTAGAGAAAACACATCGAAATTAGGTTACCGTGTTTTGTCGGGCAGTGTGCCGTGGATATTTTTCGTCAAATTTAAAAAATTGGCTTTTTTACGTTCTCTGCAATTGAGCATCAGGAGGAAAGCCAAGAAACAGAGGACGAGGAGGAAGAGGAAGAAGATGATGCAGTTACTGGTATATTTCGCTCAACTGGACAACAGCACGCTCGCACTTCCTCCCTCTCCACCACAGACTCCTCTGATGCTGAGTTGCCCGCCCCGCGTCCCGCCACCAACAGGCGCCAACAACCGACCAAAAAACGCCAGAAACCGCCATCACCAGACGTCACGGAGAGCGCAACAGAATCTGAGACAGAAGAGGAGGAGCAACAGTCGGATTTGGTACCTGTTAGAAAGCAGTCGGTGAGTTGA